CACAGTATCACAGTATCACAGTAGGTTAGAGATTGGAAGGGACCTCAAAAGATCATCTAGTCCAATCCCCCTGCCGGAGCAGGAACACCTAGATAAGGTTACACAGGAACGTGTCCAGGCGGGTCTTGAATGTCTCCAAAGAAGGAGATTCCACAACCCCCCTGGGCAGCCTGTTCCAGTGTTCCGTCACCCTCACTGAGAAGAAGTTTCTTCTCAGGTTTAAGTGGAACCTCTTGTGCTCCAATTTGTACCCATTACCCCTTGTCCTTTCATTGTTTGCCACTGAGAAGAGTCTGGCTCCATCCTCGTGACACTCCGCCTTTATATATTTATATACACTAATAAGGTCACCCCTCAATCTCCTCTTCTCCAAACTATAGAGACCCAGCTCCCTCAGTCTTTCCTCATAAGGGAGATGCTCCACTCCCTTAATCATCTTAGTTGCCCTGCGCTGGACTCTCTCCAGCAGGTCCCTGTCCTTTTTAAACTGAGGGGCCCAGAACTGGACACAATATTCCAGATGAGGTCTCACCAGGGCAGAGTAGAGGGGAAGGAGGACCTCTCTTGACCTACTAACCACCCCCCTTCTAATACAACCCAGGATGCCATTGGCCTTCTTGGCCACAAGGGCACAGTGTCGGCTCATGGTCACCCTGTCGTCCACCAGGACCCCCAGGTCCCTCTCCCCTACACTGCTCTCTAACAGGTCGTTCCCCAATCTATACTGGAACCTGGGGTTGTTCCTGCCCAGATGCAGGACTCTACACTTTCCCTTGTTATATTTCATCAAGTTATTCCCCGCCCAGCTCTCCAGCCTGTCCAGGTCTCTCTGGATGGCAGCACAGCCTTCTGGCGTGTCGGCCACCCCTCCCAGCTTAGTGTCATAAATGTACTATTCTATATACAATTTTCCATTTTAAAACTTTAAAAAATAGTATTTAAGAATTACTTAACAAGAGCATTTTTATGATAGCAAAGCACCTTAAGTCCCCACTATACATGACTTTAAATGGTTTTGGCACATATTGCTGGAATAATGGATAAGGCTGTTGTGATGCATCCAGACTCAGCACTAATTAAGCACATGATAATGCACTTTGATGAACATGAGGGCCATCCCCTTAAGGAAGTGATAACTTTGCTCCCACAGACCAAGAGGGGATACACGCAGCTTTCCCTTAGAAACTCTCTGCCAACAGTTTGTCCTGTCTTCCTATAAAAAAAAAAAAACACTAAAAAATTAATGAAATTCACTATTGGCAGTGCAAAAGATGTGTGTATCACTTATAATCAATGTGCTTAGCCTCTTCTTATTGTTGTGGCTGTGAAGTTTCAAATAATATAATTAAGATCTTTAAATATTTTTCTGAGAAATTTGTTGGGAGATGAGGATCTACCCAGCAGAGCCCAAAACTTCCATAATCTTATGGCTCTTGCTACATCTGTTCTTTTTGCTTGAATGATATGAAAAAGGACAAACAGAGGACATCATCTGAGTTTTGTGAGTATTCTTTCTAAGCATCTGGAAAAGATCTCCTTCTGGCAGATTAACTCTTAAAGTCCATTGAAAAAAAATCACCTTTTATCTAGCGGTACCTTTAACGAATATTTAAAGCAAGATCACACATCTTATCGGTCTAACTTACACCAGCACCTGAAGAAAGATTAGAGAATAAGCAAAGACACTTTTTACTGTGTCTTTATTAAGAGGTTTTTCTCACCTATAAACTTCATACACCATCCCATAAGGACATAATGCATGAAGTACAGACCAAACCTCAGACTACAAGTAGTAGGCTTAATGTGTAGACAAGTTTCTTCATCAGCTAATACGTAAAAGACTTTGAAGAAGACTTAAAATTAACCCAGAAGTATCTTTTCTGTTTCTTTTATCAAGACATCTTCTTACTTGGTTAACTTTTGCTTGCTAAAGCCAATCAAAAATAACTTTCTTTGCATGAGAAGCAGTCCAGTTTGTGCTCCAGCTTCATTCAGAGAGTCCTGCATAACTCAGCTATGATCTGGATATGAAAATAATTAAAACTCAAGCGTTAGTTTAGTACAAATAGTGTTGTTTAGAAATGCTTTGCACAACAATACAAGGCCTGGGTATGTTCTGAGCATGTATGTAATTGGTAGAATATAGTCAGGGGTCAAAAAGTGCATATCCAGATATCAGTATGAGCAACATTCTTTCCCAGTGCTGCCTTTGCACATTTTCTCCAATACACAAAAAATAAAACAAAACAAAACAAAACAAAAAAAACCACACCAAAACCACCACCACCACAACAACAAAAAATAAAAATAAATAAAGAAATAGATAAATAAATAGATTTTATAATCGCAGGTAGATCACCATTAACTTGTCATCAGTGATTTTCAATCTAACATTTACTGTGATAACACAAGATATATCTTGTCCAATGACATACTGCATGATATTTTGGGATCTATTTATACCTTAAACATTGGAGTATTTACTGATTGCCTTTTTCAACACTTTGAGCCATAAAAAACCCAAACAAAACAAAATCCATTTAAAGTAAGTATTTCAGTAAATCTCAGTCACAGAGAAATTTTACTTCATTTAAGAAGATATTTCAGCTTATGTTCATGCTAATGAAATTCAGATAAACTACCCTAGCTGCAGGCCCATTGACTTTTGGCTGAAGAGTCCACACAGCTGGATGCCTGTAAATCAGGCAGGACACAATTTCTGCATATAGGTTAATTACTGTTCTGCGTCACCAATGTATAAGAGTACAGACACTAAGCCAGAGATCTCAAAACAGCACTTTGCCTGCCTGGCAACTGTCTAATAAAAACAAAGCTTATTTTCCTGTCTGTATCATGTTGCATAATGTGAACATTTGTAAAGTAGACTACACCAAAGTAAGAGGGATAAAGGGAAAATTACACCCCTATGGATGTAAAGAGACTTAGGATAAATGTTCACTTTAAGTCACCACAGATCTATGGTGACATCAGAAGAATCAGTTCCATCTTCTCATTTCCAACTGACACCATTACTCAGACAGCAGGATTTGTACATACATAACATGAACTAAGTGCATCATCTAATAAGTTTCTTTCTTAAAAATACTTTATTCTGACAAATAAAGATGTTTTGTTATCAGACGTATTTTATATAACTGTAGACTTTGTCTTTCTACAAGAAAATCACAGATAAGGCTAATCAGTATCCTTTTCATTCTATAAACTAAATGAATTTAAATTATTCTTTTTCACTTTGCAAGTGTAGTTTTAAACCTAGTTCTGCTTATTTTCATCTAGAAATACACCACTAAGAAAACCACATTTGCATAACTACTTTTACTGTGATAAATATGGCCACCTTAAAGATCAATGTCAGAAAAAGGGAAGCAGCAGGGAAGGCGAAGACCCACTTCATGATAACAGATACAAAGCTGAAGGATAATGATAGCATGATTATTGCTTGACACTTTTAATCCAAAAGTTTGGGGAGAGTTAGCCATAAAACAGAAGTTTAAAGTTTAATAAAAGAATGGACAAATCACACCACTGCAGCTATTCAGTGAAGTTAAAACTTTAGGAAGACAATGGTCAGCCATTACTTTGCTCTTATAGTCGGCTCAAAAAATTTCATGAGCACTTTCACAAAAATGTGTTTTCAGGTCACCCACCCTCTTCCTCACAAAAAGGGTAAACTTTGAGCAAATGATAATAAATATCACTTAACAATATAAGCTGCTTGAAGCCAAAATGTTATCCAAAGCATTCATTTATTTTTAGCATCAAGATCCTTGACCCAGACTATAAACTATTTCAAACCAGCAATGACTTCTTGTAGTGATTTCAAGCATCTTAAAGAAAATTATAATTTTCACAGGAACACAGTTCTTTAAAATAAGTACTATTTGTTTCGTGTAACATCAAAGTATTTCTTCTCTTCTGTCTACTAAAAGTACTGTCATGACTTATTCACTCAATTTGTAACACTCTTTTTCTGATTGCATTTGTGGATTATAATGACAGACATCCTGCAGTGCTGCAGTTTGTAAACTGCAAAGAAAGTAGTAAACAAGTGGTCTATTGCTACATAACATTACTCTCCAATCAGGTAACCTCTTTAGTCAGTACCACCAAAAATCTGCCTCAAAATAGTCTTTATTGTCCCTGATCACCAATTTCTTTTTCTGTAATTCTGCAGAAAACACTCTGTTATATCCAAGGAAGTAGACACAGCTCCTCTATTTCAAATGAGAATTATCACCAGAACTTAAACCCCAAGCACCTTAGAAGTCAGGCACAGAGCAATGCATTCACAGAGTAAAACCAGTATTTCTTTCATCACCTTCTTAATAATCTACTCCTTTGCATTTTTCCTGGTACATTCCACGTCATTGTTAGAATTGCATGAATGTTATGTCTGCACACAATCTCACAAAATTTACAGTCATTGTCAACCCAGGCCAACTCATAAGGAACAGTTATCTGAGCATGTAAGTGAGGAATTATACCTAAAGCAACCCAACAGAAATACCTCCAAAATTTGGCATGTTGCTTTACAGCCTGTGTATCAATGTTCGGATCTAAACTGACTTAATACGTGTTTTGAGATGGTACATCCAGTATGTTACTGAGGCTTACATTCTGCACATACTGCACAATTTAAATCCAAAACTTAACAATTTTAGATCCAAGACAACCAAATTAAGTTATCAAAACATATGAATGTAACAGGTATTACAGGTTGGTGGAATAGTATTTGCAACTCAAAATGGGTAAACTGAACCTCCACAATGAATACCAGTATATTGCAAAATAGAAATGCCAGAAGGCTGAAAATATTGAATGAAATTGTTAATCTATTTGGCCTTTCAAAAAATATTAGAACCTGCCATAAAAATTATAACAGTGTAGTTTTACCAAAACTAGGTTTTCCTTTTTAAAATCTAAAAGTAAGAACTGAGCTGGTAAAAGCTAAATATTAACTGCAAAGAAAAAGGACTTACCTTCCTGTCTGTTATTTTTCCTTTTTAGCCATTTTTCTACAGTTTCCGCACTAACACTTTCCGAGACAAACTCATCCAGTACCTGGGGGTGAAGAGAAAGATATGCCTTCACTTTTTCATCTGTTAAACCTGAAAGAGAGAATATTAATTGATTACATTATTGGTATTAAATTCTTCACATGAAAAAGTACCTGTATGTCAGTAACAACCAGACAGAACAATATCTAATCAAAAAACGGAGATGTCATTCAGAAAATAGTAGAAGCAGATCATATCCATGCAAGATACTCTGTACAAAAAAAGTCCTCTGCAGTAGACATAAACACTACCTGGGAGAAACAGCCAAGAAGAAATATACTACTATGATTCTAACGTATTTATTTCCAAAATATGCAAGATAATGTATTGGTAAAGAAATTGGGTAGAAGTATATAGAAGTGAACTGGTATTTCTCGTAGAGCATCAAATTCAATGTTCTCATGGCAAGTGGCAGCAGAAGCAACAAAACTCTTATGCAGCACTGAAATAAAGTGCAGTGTTTAAATACTGGAGTTACTTAAGTAACTTTAGAAATATAAATTACTTTCACATGCATGACCCTGTTGCCTTAGTAATTTGAGTTATTGAGGTAAAAGTAATTGCAGATTAAAGGCCTTTACAATATCTGCAATAAAAATTCCAGTACAAATTTTGGAAAAAGAGGAAAGATTCAAAATCTCAGATCATAACACTCCATAAATAAATTACAAATTCATACAACTACAATCTGATCATAGAATAGCTAGCGTTGGAAAGGACCTTAATATCATCTAGCTCCGACCCGCCTGCCATGGGCAGGGATGTTGCCCAAGGCTCTGTCCAACCTTGCCTTGAACACTGCCAGGGTTGGGGCAGCCACAACCTGTTCCTTGGGCAACCTGTCCCAGTGCCTCACAACCCTCACAGTAAGGAATTTCTTCCTTATATCTAACCTGAACTTCCTTTGTTTAAAGTGGAAGCCATTACCCCTTGTCCTATCGCTACAGTCCCTGATAAAGAGTCCCTCTCCTGTGTCCTTGTAGGCCCCTTCAGATATCATACTCCTCACAAATACCCTGAACAAAACCACTGGCCACACGGAAGTGAACCCAAGAGTGCCAAGGGTTTCAGGAGACAGGAAAGAAGCACACCTGTCCTGTGGGACTAAGCTCCAGGCTGCCACAGAGGGACCAGGTATCAGAATAGAAAAGCCTTAATGAGATCTGAGGGAAAGAGGGGTAACACAACTGTAATGACTAAATACACCTCCTCTTGTGTAGTGTATATAAACATAATTATAAATTCTCTACAGAAAGCAGCATAGGTTCAGCAGAACAGAAACTTCCATCTGAGTAACACTGACCTCTTTTGGAGAGTATTTGTGATATAAAATAAGATCACTTTTCCTATTTTATGCTTCGTGCAGTATCAGAACATGCTGAAAACAGCAATGGTGTAATTTAAATGCTAGTCAATGACTGTAACCTTTATAATGTCTTACAAATGTTTATTATGAAAGCCTTCAGGAAGCAGTAACGGAACACAAGCCAACAACTCCCACCTGCAGAGCACCAACCACATATGCCATTCTCCCCACACCAGCTGCACCACATCATTCCCACCACATCAGCCCCCACCAGCTCAAACCTGGTCTAATATATTCTTTCTCTTAATCCACATAGGCAGCAGCTCCTGGTGGATATTATAGCCTTAAATAACAATTTTCCCACTTACAGGCAAGAATCTCCAAATCTGGATCCCTTTGACTTAAAAAAAGCTAAGTGAGCATCCTGATTTTCATTAGTAAAGGTGGAAAGTTTCTCCCTAAATTGGTAAGAGCAGGAGATAATCAGTAAGCAGGGCAAAAACAAACAAATCCCCACTACTTTGATTGCCTAACCTGAGGTGATAGTTTGTAAACTTAAATCATAAGGCATCTATAAAAAAGTACATGTGCCACACAAACAAAGATTTTTCAGCCAATACAGGTATCAAGTCACATACGGACAACCCAAGACTAATTAATGTAACTTTGTAATTTGCTCAACTAAAAGATGTAAGCAAGTCTAATTTCGTACCTACAGAAACTGAAAACGAGTTTGGAGAGTCATTCATAAAGAACATAATGTTCTGAAGATTTACCAGAGTTAACCATCAGAAAGTCATTAAAATGTATCTACTTTTTAAGTTCTGCATGAAAAAAAGATCAATACAGCTTGGTCACACAATGCCTGCTACTTCCAGATTGACTTTAGACTGCAAACACACTTTTTTTTTTTTTTCCATGAAGAAACTAGGAATTAAAAAGTTAGTAAAATCAGCAACTGAAATTCTGCAGGGGCTGATCTGTGTTCTCAGTGAAAATAGTTTTAACTTTCTTATGTACGCAGTCTGCATTCTTTGACTTCAATTTACATACTTCCTGGATTCAAACCTTTCTGGGTTGTGTGCTTTGTAATACGCACATCAAAATTCAATGAAAAGATAATCTGAAGTAAGACTTCAATTTCCATGCCATGAGTTTAATTTCCATTCCATACATCCTGCAATTTCAGCAACTTCAGGATGAAAACTCTGCTTTAACATTATAGAGTCATAGAATCATAGAACAGTTAGGGTTGGAAAGGACCTTAAGATCATCCAGTTCCAACCCCCCTGCCATGGGCAGGGACACCTCCCACCAAACCATATCACCCAAGGCTTTGTCCAACCCGGCCTTGAGCAATACCAGGGATGGATCATTCACAACTTCCCTGGGCAACCTATTCCAGTGCCTCACCACCCTAACAGGAAAGAATTTCTTCCTTATATCTAATCTAAACTTCCCCTGTTTCAGTTTTAACCCGTTACCCCTTGTCCTATCACTACAGTCCCTAATGAAGAGTCCCTCCCCAGCATCCCTATAGGCCCCCTTCAGGTACTAGAAGGCTGTTATGAGGTCTCCACGCAGCCTTCTCTTCTCCACGCTCAACAGCCCCAACTTTCTCAGCCTATCTTCATATGGGAGGTGCTCCAGTCCCCTGATCATCCTCATGGCCTCCTCTGGACTTGTTCCAACAGTTCCATGTCCTTTTTATGTTCAGGACACCAGAACTGCACACAATGCTCCAAGTGAGGTCTCACGAGAGCAGAATAAAGGGGCAGGATCACCTCCTTTGACCTGCTGGTCACGCTCCTTTTGATACAGCCCAGGATACGGTTGGTTTTCTGGGCTGCAAGCGCACACTGAAGCTGGCTCATGTTCATTTTCGCATCGACCAACACCCCCAAGTCCTTCTCCGCAGGGCTGATCTGAATCTCTTCTCTGCCCAACCTGTAGCTGTGCCTGGGATTACTTCGACCCAGGTATAGGACCTTGCACTTGGCATGGTTAAACTTCATGAGGTTGGCATCAGCCCACCTCACAAGCATGTCAAAGTCCCTCTGGATGGCATTCCTTCCCTCCGGCGTATCAACCAAACCACACAGCTTGGTGTCATTGGCAAACTTGCTGAGGGTGCACTCAATCCCACTGTCCATGTCAGCGACAAAGATGTTGAACAAGACTAGTCCCAACACCAATCCCAAGGATCGGGAAAAGTGATTCATGGAGCTGATACATTAAATCCTACAACGGTCTTTAAGTTACCCTCCTTTATTTCATTAAATTTAGCTGTGCAGATGTGCTTTTTTAATGTCAGATTTGCAGATAGAAGCAAGCAGGAGAGGACTTACAACTATATTTGCAGAGTTGAAAAGGAATAACTTCAACATATTTTCTACATAGGTTAAGGCAGAGTCGTCCATTCTTCTAAGTGCTAGTCTACTGTGTTGAAAAATACAACTATAGACACAAAACCCACAACCAAAACCAGCAAGAACACATCATAAATTCACAAAATTTAATGTTAAGAAAAAGTGCCGTTATTAGAAAGTAGCCTTTTGAAGAAGCTTAAACGCTTTGTGGCTTAAATATATTATGGTGAAAGTGGAAACAGAGCTTTTCAAGAAATGCTGGGGTTTATGCAAGTGTTTCACCTTACTATCTTTTTGTTTATTTCATTTATTATAGGCTTGGATGATATAAAATAGGCAAAATTCAATCCAAAACAGAGGGCAGAAGGCATCCTGTGCCCCTAGTAGCACCCAAGAGGCAAATCTTTGACTAGCAAAAGGCATTTTACTGCCAGCGAGAACCACCCCTGTGGCAGGACACTCTTTCTGGGCTGTTCAGCGTGGGAAGCATGAATCAAATAATAAAAAAGAAACAATCATATTTACTTACAGTATTTCTATAAACTGATGCATTGGCATACTCTACCAAATAAACAATAGCCCTGTTTTTCCATGCTGCATATGCCTGAGGCTTAAGCTTTTAATCTGATTTGGCATAGCTCATGAGAGTCTACCAAAATTTTGGTTTTGTGTTTTATGGTTGGAGTTTGGTTTTTTTTGGTGGTGGTGGTGGTAGTGTTTTTTTTTTTCTTTTAAATAACTCCTTGGCTTTCAGTAGAGCATGTATGAGAGTGTTTAGGAGGGGTATGAGTTTGGGTTTCTTTCTGTACAGATACTACAGGAAATAGTTTCTTTTTCACTGAAATTAATAGAAGGATTAGATAAAGACAGAATTACATGTGGATTTCTCACCTTTCTTATTTTTGTAAACCAACTATAGAAAATACAAATATTTTTACTAAATATCACAATCCAGTAATTTCAACATAAACTAGAAACCCCACCATTTGTGATATTCTGTTTCAACAAGTAACTAACTTTTCAGTGGTCCTGTGATTGAAAACAAGTTTCATTTCACTCAGGGTGAAGAAGAAAGAAGCTTTTATCTGAAGATAATTTAGCAAGTTTAGTAGAGCTGCTTGAAGAGGAATAGTTACTCGTGTAGTTTACGAACCATCACAGTGTATCGGACTAGATCATTGGTGCTTCAAAAGCATAACTACGCAGACTATTCTTGTTGGTATTTATACTAAAAGCCAAACAAAACCAAAAACCCCAGCACCACCACCACCTTCCAATGTATCTCTATTTCTGTGTGTCATACAAAGCCAGTGTGAGTATTGCAGGCTGCCAGATTTAATGATTGCCTGTCCTGCTCAAGCCTGGATTCCCCTTTT